CAAGAAGTCTGTTAAAGTAGGCAATGTCAAAAGACGTGAAACCCAAATCTCCTTATACTATGAGTAAACTATAATGAACGGCCATTTCATTTGAGCAATTGTATTTATTGATGGACATGCACAATCAGAATAGATGTGACAAGCTGGATGTGAAAACCGAAACCTCTGGCATAGAATGAACATCTTTCATCATGCTTCTTTCACGATCAAAGCAAATTTGTTGCTTTAATGAAGCAGCTTGGATTATAATACATGAAACCAATAACTTTTGCATATTCTTCTCTGATAGTTAATCAGCATAGTAAAAGCCATAATGCAGTTCAACAGAGTCCTTAATGAGTATTGCAAAAACCTGATGAAAAGATATCTAGTTGATTGCAAATGAAAAAGCAAAACAAAACAAAAAAACCGTAAGCAGGTATTATTTGTTCTCTGACTGATCAGTAGCACAGCAGAGAGATATTCCTTTTCTGTTGCAAACTGAAACTTTCGCTAAGGAGACACATCCTTTATAAACGTAACTTGGAGTAAGGCCCATCAAATTCAATGGGAATTACTTCTGTGTAGCTCTATAGAGAGTTGTGCAGTTTGGAGATTTTGCAGTTGAAAGAGAAAGACTCTTGATGCAGTGATGTTGACTTCAATCACTCTCTCTTTAAGATAAGCCATATGCTGACATTACTTAGGACAAACATGATGTGCTAATAATAGCACACATTCCCAGTTACTTTTTAACAATTAAATCAAGTTAGATTTCATCAGCTGGCTGTAGTTGCTAATCAGCTATCCTTTCTTTGAACTCCTTGTCTAAAGTATGTGACATTAACACTATGCACAGCCTCCAGTTAGGAAAAAGATGCAAGTGTTTGTGACTATGAACATTTTCCACGCAAAGGAAATTTAGTGAGCTACAGTTCTTGACGACATCAGGATAATTGTCCTCACTGCCTGCTGTCCTCAATATTTTGCAGCTGGTGGCATTTTGTGTTATAGAAAACAAAGGGACAGGATTAAAATCATGGCCTACGACTGAGACATGGTCAGTGTCGGAGGCTCAATATTTTGAATATATTTAAATAAAAATCTGCATCATTTGGATGAAAATGATATTTGCTAGTACCCACAGCAGAACCCATGTTACAATTCCTTTATTGAAAAATTAATATTATGCAATGAATTGATATACAAGTGAGAGACAATGACTAAAACCTTGTCACCTCTAAAACTTTGGCACTCACACTAAACAGAACCAGTTATATGGGAGATGGAGAGCAGGTTTTTCCAAGCTCACGTGGCTGCTTCTTACACAGGGGAAGAAAGGAAGCAAAGTGGCTGTTAATGCACACTCATACTGAATCAGCCAGGAGCAAATTATGAAGCCTGAAAACAGATGCAGGTGCTTTAATGATTCAAAGGTCCTTTGTATGCACCCCTGAGTATTAGAAGGCATCACTTTTAAAGGATTTGCCCAGCCTTACTAATATTTCCAGAAGCAATGGTAATCTTACTCTTTGTGTGTGTGCAACTAATTGAAATTGTAAGTGCAAGAGTTAAATAAACTGATTCTTAAAAAACTGGTACCAGTGGGTAAATTTACTAAGAGGTGCTAGCACCAGTACTAAAAGCCCTTTAACAGATGTGTCTCAGAATGCAGGAGATATAGCAAGAGTAGCATTACTGTTTTCAAGGATTTGCAACAAGCTCCATTTTACCTTCTGGTGCAGTAGATGGGGGTGAGGAAGGCTAATATAACGGGCTGTTCCTCTGTAGCTGGCTTCAGCACATTTTGACTACCACTCCCATCACTCTTAGCAAGCATGCTTTGATGTGCCTGGTTGGGGAAGATCAATTAAAATATAGAGCTTTTCATATTTAGAAGTCTTTAATAAATAATCACTGATTGAGTGTGACTGCAAAATGTCCAGTTACAGTTCTATTAATATCAATCTAAACAGACACACACTCAGAATCCTATTGTATGTTAGCTCTCCTTTGATTCCTTCTCCTACAGATGAAAATTGGTATAATGATCATTGTAATTCAACACATCTGGAAGGCACCAGTTTGGAAATGGCTGTTTCACAGGATCCCAAAGACACTCGATGTGTGAATTTTGATTTGTGGTGATCAGAGGTGCTTTGGAAATATGATAGAATGGGTTTAATTTTAATTCATTCTTGGCTTTTGTTAGATAATTACCTGGCTATTAGATCCTTGAGTAGGAATAAAGCAGTTACCTACTACTTGACATCTGGTGCCTGTACTTTTTGAGACGAGGCTGTATTAAGAATTGTCTCTCATTGCTTAAAATACTCCAATGAAAAGCTATTTTTCAGAGAGCTTATGCCACCTGCTGCAGCTTTTATTTTAACACATTGGAACACTTTTGCTAGGGGCAGCAAATGGAACATTAAGTACCAACCATGCATGATGTATTGGTTTAAAAGCCCCCATTAATGTGTCAAATGTGCATGAAATGATTTCACACATATGGCTGACATACTGTATCTAGAAACCTTCTGCTTATTTAGTTTCTTGGAAGCCCTGAAGTCTGTTTGCTTATGTTAGATTTCTATATCCATGTAAGTGGAAACCCTGTTCTTTAGATATTGAGTAGAGAGTTGGAAACACCTCGCTTAGTTTACATTTACCAAGTGAGTTGTCAACTAAGCTGCATGCTTACTAGTAAATATGTCCACTGAATTTAGTGAGACTCTTTTTCTGAGTAAACATTATTCTGATTACACTGCAGAGCTATTCACCCATGGAATCAATCTTAAATCAAGGAGCTCTATATAGATTGTATGATGTCTCTCAAGTACAGACTCACGTATTGGTGAAACATTTTGAATTCCTCTTTCCCTTCTGCCCATCTACTGAAATACCTAGTGTAATCCTTATTCAGTTCTAGCACACCTGATTATCTAGATGACAAGACATTCCAGTCCAGATGTGTTGGGACTGCAAGTTTCTGAATTCCTAATGATGGAGGTTGGGGAAAGTTGCCCTATAATATGAACAGCTGGTTTTCATAGCATTCCATCTACCATAGATGATATAGTCCCTTACGTAGGTGTGGAGAGAATCATTTGTTCAGCTGCTCTCACCCCTTTTCCTCAGGGTTGTCACACATTCTATCAACATTGACTCCATATTTAAGACTGCTAGGACATATTTATCCTTTTCTGTGAAAAAAAAACCCAACTGTTCTTATTTTTGTTGGTATCTGGCTTTTGTTTATTACTCCATACTTTCCGTTTGGTGGACTTAAGGCACTTTATAAAAATCACCTTGTTTTCCTTAGTGAAACATGTTTTCCATATTTCAGAAAAGCATAGCCTTCCTTTTTGGAAACATATGCCCTGCATATTTAAAAATTCATTTCTGCAATTATTCACAAATCCAGTAGGCAGTCCTCTGAATCCTGCAGAGGTTTGCAAAACTGGTTCAGTATCATTTGTGCTGTGTCTATGCATTATGTTAATCAGTGATGTTCAATATAGGGAATAATACATTACCATTATCCATAGAAGAGAAGATTGCTAATTTGCACAGGCAAAATGAGAACAATCTAAAAACTTGCTCTGGACCCCTATTTTTTCCTGGGTAAACTTACCACGGTTTGACAATTCCCCAGATTTGTGATTGCAAAGATTGTTCATGCAAAGTGGGAACACTATCAAAAGTCACTCCAGATTTCACCAGAAGTATGTTAAGGGAGTCATGACCCACATTTTGAGGATCCTTGGTGTATTTCATTATGGGCCCATATGTCAAAACATAGCAGAATGCTGGTATAAGAAATGCTATGCAGATTGAATAAGGAACTAATCGCATAGTGATACAAATACCAAGGAATAACTATGAATGAATGGTAAATGGGAATGGTGAACAGGAGAAAAAGAATATGGATTTTCCGAACTCTTCACTAGAGTTTTGTTTCTTGTTTCAATCTGTTCATATATATTACTGGGTGAAAATAAATACATATGAATCAGTTCCTCATCTGATAGTCATGAAACATCAGAAAGTTTGGAAAACAGGCTACCTCTGAAAGAGGATTGGATGAGTCTTCTCTGTGAAAAAGCTATTTGAGTAAAAGAACAGTCTTATCTAAAACATAAAGAAATATCCCAATATATCAGAGCATTTGTAATAGAGTGTGTTGTAGATCACATCTGCTATTGAACATAATGTTGCCAGTGAGTTCAAGGTTTATAGCTTCCAGTAATAGCAGATAATTGTGATAAATGATTCATATCAACTACAAGCGACACCTTTTAAAATTTCCGTATCTGGCAACCGTAAAGCATTTCTGAATGCTTCAGTAGACCTCCATGACCGAAAGCAACTTTATGATTAATTTCATCTCAGTGTGGTAATTAGCATGGTTTGAAGCGATTCCTGGAAAACAGGCCGATAGAGGTGGAAGATTAACCCAACACTCTTTTTTAGAGCAAAGGACGATGTATGTATACCCAAGAATGCACGGGTTTCTCCTGGAAACTGCTAGGCTTTTTATTACTTCAGATAAAAGAAAGGGACCTTACAAAAATGGCGGAAGAGCCCTAAAGAGTAGAGTAGAAATCGGAGCAAGGGGTCCCAAAGAAAAAGGCTTTATTCAAGTAAAAGCAAATGGCTTGGTGGAGAAATATATATCTAAAAGGAAGTTGGCCTTGAAAACCTTTGGAAGTTGTTTTCTCTGAAATAGCTGTCTTGTTGCCCTTTGTCCAGATATCCAAAAACAGCACATATTCCAAAGTAAAAGTGTTTATTTCACATCCCAGGGTTGTATTCTGGCATTCAGATTAGATCCTAGCATTGGGACACCCCTAGTTCAGAAAGCTTGGGGTCTAGCTCACTGAAGAAATACATTTTTATCTTCTGTGATGATGAAATAAATGAATGGCTCTGCCTGTGGTTGTGTTGTGGTGCCTATGTGAAAGCATTTGGCACAATATAACAGTGCGCTTATTGCCTCTTATTATATATCCTTACAGATACAAAAGAAGCTGTTTTCATCAAAGACCTAAAAAGTAAGATTTATCTTTCTAATTATGTTCTTACCTTTTATTTATTTATTTTATTTCAGTGTTACTAGAGTTTGCTTTAGTACATCCCAATTATCCATATTGAAGTATATCATTTTATACATTCTTTTTGGGGGGTAAAAGACATCTTGAGCTCAACGGGATTTACATCTGGGTAGACCTGCAGAGAACTGTGCTGTAAAACTGTAAGAAAATGCAGATATGGAAACAGTGACACCATTTATAATTTTAAAGTGACATGTTTAGACTTAGCAGTTTCTTCTATCCTGAATCAATTCACACTGCATTTTCAGTTCCCCATTCTCATTTGTGACTGACAGTTATTTCTTCCCTTCTCCATTTTTTTTTTTAATCTCACAACTTGAAAAAGCAAATAGGGATTGAAATGTCAACTGTGATCTCAGCTGAATATATTCTTAGTGGTCATGAGCTGGATAGAAGAAAGTTCATGTATCTGGTTTCTATATAATAAGGTCTGAAGACTCTTAGTCCCTTGAATAAATGAATACAAGTCCCTGTCATGAAGGATGCAAATCACCGAGCCTGGCAGCATTCTGCAGGTTCTGTTCCTGAAAACTAATGCAGGAAACAGGTGGCAAATCCTTAAAGGCCTTCCAGAATCCTGCATTATTTAACCAGGTAAAATTTGATGCACCCTTAGCATGGGCCTAAAGGTGCCCCATGTAACCTTATAAAATGAAAGGGAGGATAGCCTGCAGCTGTGTATTCTTCCACTGAATTGCAGAAGACTTCCTGGTACTTACAGATCGGAAATGAGGGTTACTTGATTTAGATGACAGATCTGCAGCATGTCGCAGTGACATTATCCTCACTGTGCTTCTAGAGCACCACCAAAATCTACATACAACTCAGTATCACAACAGTTCTCATCTGAAGGTGGGGAGAATCATGTTTCTTCCACAGGTATAGGGATTCCAGTTGCAGCATTAAGGTGCTGGGAAGTAGTTGCATGAATAAAGGGAACACTCTGGATCATCCAAGGCAAAATAGAAACACTTGGAGACCCCCAGAGCAAAAGGTCATCACAGGAAAGAGAAGATACAAATGTAATTGCTGTTCATTGCTGCTGATTTCAACGGTCAGTTTGGGTAGCAGGTGCTGAAATGGACAGCTTTGATGGACAATTCTGATCCTCCAGCATGGCCAGTGGTGAGGGAAGATGGATTCTGCAACCCATCATGTCCCTGACATAAATGAACATAGTTCAATATTCTCTTCTGAGTAGCACTTATCTTCTGCATTACAGAAGGAGTGTTTGATTATTTTCTTGTCAAACAGGCATGCTTGCACAGAGACAAGCTGTGAACTGACTCTAATCACATGTAGCCCTGTTGACCTGAAGTGGGGATGGGTATTCCCATTTATCATAAAAGATGTATCAAGCACAAGCGTTGCACTTCAGATTGTTCAATATTTGCACACATACATGGTATATCAAAGCTGAGCTGGTGACATTGATCTACGCTACAGCTTCAGTTAAACAGCTTGAGAATAACCTGTATTGTCTTATTCTGGATGAGGAGAGCACACATGCACAGACTTCAGTTTCCTTCAGGAAGAATGTGTCTGTTCTCTAGATTATTCCAGCCATAGCTTTTTATGCAAATGATGCATGTGGTTTTTGAAATGACTATTAAAATGTAATGGTGAGTGGCATAATACAAAATCTACATTTGTTAATAATAGTAATTATCACATGATTTCAAATCACAATTTCCGCTGTCACTTGCCCCCTGTTTTTGACTTAATAGAACTCCAAGAAACAGCTTGTTTTAATTATCTTCTCTTGTCCCTTGTGAGAAGGATACTAAGGGCAATATTTTTCATATGTTGTTTCCCCAGTTCTCTGTTTTTTGTTAAGGCATGCCTTGTTATGATTGCTTTAATTTGTTCTCATTTTAAGAGCCAGCAAAAGCTCCTGTCTCCCCCCAGCCAGTTTCCATAAAAGTGGTAACACCAGGTAAATAATTCAATTATTTTCTCTTGCTTTATTTTTAGGGTTATTTAATCACCCTTTCTGGGAACATGCATTTCTTTTTTATTTCATTGCACCAGAGCGCCATCTGTTGGATCAGATGAGGATGGACTCTTTTTGCTCTCTGTGAAAATCAAACTAACAGTAGGCTCTGCTGTGCCAACTGACAAAACCATACACAATCATTTACAAGCCACAATAATTGGATTCACTCATTGAGTAAAACCAAAACTAAGCACACTGCATTATGGCTGAGCATGATGAATGAACCTTGCAAATTGTGGATGGGAAGCTTTTCCTAACAGAACATGATGGGCATCAATTGCTGAGGGTGGAATGTCTTGAAACAAGGGCCATGCACAAGTACGGTTCCTTTTGGAGGGCAAGTTCAATGGAGGTTCACAGTGTTTCTGTAAAATATTTGGCTACACATTCTCCCTCCTGAAGTTAGGCTCACCCCTCCCCGCTGTCATCTAGGAAGTCCCTCAAGACCTGCTTATGTCATCAGGCAAGCCTGGGGGTCTTTGGGAACTGGAGACATTCTTAGAGGGCTCCACTATGATTGATATTCAGTTCTCTCCGTAGGGTTTGTATATTTTAAAATTTTTGATAATGTTTTCATTTTAATAATCACTTTTTATCTTTTTATAATGATTGTTTTTTATGTATTTGTTGTTTTATTTAATTGTTGCATGCCGCCCTGAGTCGCTTTGTGTGAGATGGGCAGCTATATAAATGTGACAAATAAAATAAAATAAAAAATAAAATAAAAATAAAGACGCAGATAAAGGCCCTACTGCAAAGGGCCAACCCAACTACATAATCTTTGAAGAAGAGCAAAAAAGAGTTCATGATTTTGCTGACTTACAGCAGGTAGCTATTTGTTCCATTTTACAGAAGACCGTCCTATCTTTAATGAGTTGTTATATGACCGTCCTGCATGTGAAGGCCTGTTTTTCTGGAAAACCTGCTCAGTCCACATCTGGTGTAAAGACAGAGAACCACATGAAGAAGAGGGAGTAGAATGTAGTGTTCAAATTGCCCATCATTTGGCCCTTGGATAGCAGAGTTAAGCAACAATGCAGGTTACCTGATTACAGATGTCCCCATTATGATGAGAGATTGGGTATTTCTACTCTGATTAGTTAACTATGGTAAAATTATTTCTAAAGCTGAATCTATAAATATGAATTAGCTTCTACAAATCAGAGTCCTCTTTTGTCCACTTCTTTAGAGAAGAGGAGGGAGGTGACAGAAAGTAGAAGAAAAGGAAGAATACTTTTCTGCAACTTTTAGTTTTGGCTCTGTCTACCACAACTGTGTGCCTCAAATAGATGACCCCAATTAAAAAAAAAAAATCTTGTCATCTCTTTTTTACCTGTACAGAGATAGTGAAAGGAGAGAAATAGATGCATAAGGTATATAATCATCCTAAGGCAACAGATTATTTCAAATAGCTGCACAAGGAAATAATTATGCAATTTGTTCCTCTGATAACATCGCATCAGGTCACTGCATATGACCGCAGATATACTCTTCACAACCTATAAATCAGTGTTTCTTCACCTTGGCAACTTTAAAATGAGTGGACTTCAACTCCCAGAATTCCCCAGCCAGCATAAGTCCTCTGCTACAAATCTTTATTTTGCCAAATGAAGTTGATCCATTCTGAATAGTATTCTTCCTTCATAAAGAATATCAACATTAAAAAACATTCATGGGAGTTATGTTAACATTGCTCTGCTGAATGACATCCACTAGCAAAAATGGCATTATAAAGTAATTCCTATTTCTTAAAAAACCTTTTTCTATATATATTTTTAACATCCAATCTGCCCACCTCCCTGGGATATCCAAGTAAGAACCAGGCCCAGTTTTGCTTGTTTTCCTGAAAGGTAAACCACTGCCATCTGCTGAAACAAACTTGTAATATACAGCAGAAAAAAAATTGATTTTTCACAAATTGTTTATGTCAATATTACAACAATCGCTGAAAATGCAATGGGGGTGAATTACTCTAAAAAATAATTTACTTGCATGAAAAATTTTTTCAATAAAACCTCAAGTTATTGTTGAAACTATGTAGTAATATATGTGAATCATTGAATAATTAAAAATGTGAAAGGATTAAATGTTTAGGTGAAACATTCTAGCATTGATTTAAAAGTCAGACCTGCTGTAAAAAATTTAGGCAGTAGTACGAGACTTGGATTTATCTGATTTAAGTTTGTCTGAAATCCATGGGGAAATAAAAACTCTGCACAATAAAATGTTTTCAGTGCAATTGCATATTTGTCTATTCAGAAGCAGTTCCTACAGACTTAATGAGGCTGGCTTTCACTTATTTATATATAGGATTTCATCCTTAAAATCCCATTTATTTATTTTCTTTGAAACTGGATATACACGCCCCCTTCAAATTGAGTTTCTCAGGATGATTTACAAATGATTAAAATCATAGTATATTTTTAAAACTAAAATAATTAAAATGCAATATATAAACAATAAAAGCACAGCTGCAGATTGATTAAAAAGCTTCTGTGTAGCATATATATATTAAATTGCTGTATTAACAGAGTAAAAGACATGGGG